CGGTGCGGCTTACATGAGGCCGAGCCCACAATACATCAATGATAAAGCAATAACAACAATTAATACAGACAATAAAATAAAACTCATAACAAAAAATAAACAATAAACAATAGCAGTAACACAACAACGTTTAGAACCTATGGCTGGGCCAAATGTAATAATTAAAATTTAAGAATAATGCTGAGCATGAACAGATGAAATATGAAATATGAACTAGGATAGAGTCTTCAGAGAGCGATGGGCGTGCAGACATTTCTAGATCAATAGTAAAGTGCATTTCGAGGACATATTGCTGGGAGTTCCCTTATTCTGGGAAGGCACACAGGAACAACCACGTTTTCAGGCTCCTCCTAAAGACTGCCAGGGTTGGGGCATGAGTGAGTTCCAGAGTCGAGGGGCCACCACCGAGAAAGCCCTCTCCCTCGTCCCCACCAATCGTGCCTGCGATAGAGGTGGGAGCGTGAGCAGGGCCTCTCCAGATGATCGAAGGGAACCCCATGGGTTTCATCAGAGAGGGTTTTGCCAGTTTCTTCCTCTAAAATATAAACTACAGAATCTGGTACAAGATTAATCTTCTACAGAAATACTAGTGTCTAGTACAGACACTAGAAAGGATCTAGAGTGTGTACCATGACCAAATGAGCTTCATTGCTCAGTTGGGTGCAATCTGAAGTATAATCTTTTTAACAGGCAAAATACCCTGCCCGCAGTTATCCATTCTGCAAGTATTATAAGTGGATACACTCCATCAGGAAAGCCAGACCTGAGCAGGACTGTTGATACCACGGTGACCTGGAGGTCTCTCATTCACAGGGTCATACTAAGTCCAGGGCAATTTCATCACAATTAACAGCAACATGTTGGCACAGGAATTGAGACCTCCTTGTGTGTCTACTTCTGAAATTTAGAGAATGGAAAATAACAATTATGCACACAAGTTGTTACTTACGAAAGCATTTGGAAGTACAAGACTGACCAAAAAGGAATAATCCACTGATCAACATTGTTCAATATGGAAATCCCTATGAATTAGCAACGAATCTACCACAGAAATCTTAGCTTATGAATTAAAAGGAAGGTGAAGCATTTGTTTCTTAGTGACAATTACTTTTCCCCCCTCCTAAGAGTAATTCTGGATTATTTGAATACATAATGCACAATCATTTTTTAAAAAAAACCCACAATTATAATTCTTTCCTTAAAACTGGACAAGTAGTACAGGTGAGGTACATACATAACGTCAACCAAGTTCACATGGTAAGCAGTTAGAAATGATGTATTAACCAAACCCAGAGCTTTTAGAACTTAGTTCAGTTCCAAGAGTACTGATGTACAAGGAACCAAACATTGTGGTTATTAGTTACAGGAAACTCAGCAGACAGGAAGTGTGATGTTAACACAGCTATGTGGAAAGAATACAAAGATGAATGTGCATACACCATATCAATGTGTTACAACAAAATATTTTTGGTACTAGAAGCGTGCTATGTATGCCAATTATTATACACCTGAAGTTCACAATTGAAGGTCCTAAACAACCCAAAGGAAACAGATCCCATCTGATCCTGGAAAGTAAGCAGGGTTGGCCCTGGGTAGTACTTGGATGGGAGATTCCCAATGATTACACTATGTAACACAATTTTAGTTCCTGGGCTATAAATGTCATTTCCTAATTGGTTCTATCATAAAAAACGGGAAAAGTTTATTAAACTGCAAAACTTTGTTTATGCGGGACATCCTGCAGCATGTTTTTAAATGAATATCTCGAGTCTCAGCTTCATTAAATGCCACGAAAATGAAGTTTCTGGAGTAGAACAACTACTCCAGAAAATAGCACACAACTGAACAGGAATAATACTTTCAAACCAGGAACAGAAGATTTTTCCAATTTTGTGACATAGTGTTATAAGGTTCTGCAAAGTAGCAACAGTAAGAACTGACCATGGAACAACAGGCTGGTTCAAGATTGGGAAAGGCGTACGGCAGGATTGTATACTCTCACCCAACCTATTCAACTTGTATGCAGAACACATCATGCTATGTGGGGCTGGATGAATGCAAAGCTGGGGTGAAAATTGCTGGAAGAAACATTAACAACCTCAGATATGCAGATGACACCACTCTGATGGCCGAAAGCGAGGAGGAGCTGAGGAGCCTTCTAATCAAGCTGAAAGAAGAAAGTGCAAAAGCCGGGTTGCAGCTAAACATCAAAAAAACCAAGATTATGGCAACAAGAATGATTGACAACTGAAATAGAGGGAGAAAACGTGGAGGCCGTGACAGACTTTGTATTTCTAGGTGCAAAGATTACTGCAGATGCAGACTGCAGCCAGGAAATCAGGAGACACTTACTTCTTGGGAGGAGAGCAATGTCCAGTCTCGATAAAATAGTGAAGAGTAGAGACATCACACTGGCAACAAAGATCCGCCTAGTCAAAGCCATGGTATTCCCTGTAGTAACCTACGGATGTGAGAGCTGGACCTTAGGGAAGGCTGAGCGAAGGAAGATCGATGCTTTTGAACTGTGGTGTTGGAGGAAAGTTCTGAGAGTGCCTTGGACCGCGAGAAGATCCAACCAGTCCATACTTCAGGAAATAAAGCCCGACTGCTCATTGGAGGGAAGGATAGTAGAGGCCAAGATGAAGTACTTTGGCCACATCATGAGAAACAGGAAAGCTTAGAGAAGACAATGATGCTGGGGAAAATGGAAGGGAAAAGGAAGAGGGCCGACCAAGGGCAAGATGAATGGCATCCTTGATTGAAGTGACTGGATTGACCTTGAAGGAGCTGGGTGTGGTGACGGCCGACAAGGAGCTCTGGCGTGGGCCAGTCCATGAGGTCACAAAGAGTTGGAAACGACTGAACGAATGAACAACAAACAACAACAACCACATTAAGTAACTATTCTTGCACTAGGCTACTATTTCAACAAACTCAAGTATAATGGAGGAGGGGTAGTAGTAGTAGTAGTAGTAATTTTATTGATTAGCCTTTAGGCCATATCACAATAAGAAACAGAACAACAAGGCCTGACAAGACCTGATCACACCCCACATAGTAAGTTAAAAAAAAGACACTTATAATAATACAGTAAATACATATGACAAGACATGATAAAACTGATAAACTGATCAAGCTGAGTATATACATCATATTTCATTATCAGGAGGGGTAGTATTTTACCATCATTAGCTCCAAAATGTACAGGTAAACTTTCTCCAGAAAATGAAACTCTGATCACTCTGACCAAAAGGTCATGAGTTCGAAGCCAGCCCGGGTTGGAGTGGGTTTCCAACCAATTGTATGTAGCCTGTTGTTGACCTTTGCAACCCGAAAGACAGTTGCATCTGTCAAATAAGGTACCACCTTAAAGTGTGGGGAGGCTAAATTAACTGATTTATGAGGCCATAAAGAAGACTCCAGCAAAGCATTCCAGCAGGGAAGCATGCGGGAATGCGGAAGTGCTTCATCAGCGTCGCAGATGGACGATGAAAGCGACAGCTCCCGGCCAGAAAAAGTTAAATAGCCTCTGTGTATGTCTGTATATGTTTGTATGTCAAAAATTGGCATTGAATGTTTGCCATATATGTGTACACTGTAATCTGCCCTGAGTCCCCTGTAGGGTGAGAAGGGCGGAATATAAAAGCTGTAAATAAATAAATAAATAAATAAACTGAAATAACAAAACTCATATCAAAATACATTTGAAGAAAAAAGAAGCATCTACATTCTTCTTGGTCAGTGCTTCCCAAGTGTTTTGGGGACTTCAACTCCCAGAAGCCCCTGAAAGCTTGAACAAAGACTGGGATTTCTGGGAGCTGGAGTCCAAAGCACCTGGAGGTTGGGGACAAAACAAATGGTTAATGGCATTTGTCAAAATATGACATCTTATTGCAACTTTTTTGAATGTAACACATCTTAGTATTAAAATGCATCCCGAGCTCTGAAGATACCTGGGAAGGAATCCCACTGGAGCATTGCAGTGCACCCAAATACCTGGGAGTCACTCTGGACCATGCTCTGACCTACAAGAAGCACTGCCTGAACATCAAGCAAAAAGTGGGCGCTAGAAACAATATCATACGAAAGCTGACTGGCACAACCTGGGGATCACAACCAGATACAGTGAAGACATCTGCCCTTGTGCTATGCTACTCTGCTGCTGAGTATGCATGCCCAGTGTGGAACACATCTCACAGTGGATGTGGCTCTTAATGAGACATGCCGCATTATCACAGGGTGTCTGCGCCCTACACCACTGGAGAAATTACACTGCTTAGCCGGTATTGCACCACCTGCCATCCGCCGGGAAGTAGCAGCCAATAGTGAAAGGACCAAGGCAGAGACATCTCCAGCTCATCCTGTTTGGGTATCAGCCAGCACGTCAACGACTTAAATCTAGAAATAGTTTTCTAAGATCTACAGAGACACTCGCTGGAACACCTCAGCAAGCGAGAGTCCAAAAGTGGCAGGCTCAAACCCAGAACCGCAATCAATGGCTGATACCAAATGAGAGACTCCCCTGGGCACACAGAAAACTGGGCGACTTGGAAGGCACTGAACAGACTGCACTCTGGCACCACGAGATGCAGAGCCAACCTTCAGAAATGGGGGGGTCACAAAGTGGAGTGTGGAGAAGAGCAAACCACTGACCACCTGATGCAATGCAACCTGAGCCCTTCCACATGCACAATGGAGGACCTTCTTGCAGCAACACCAGAAGCACTCCAAGTGGCCAGATACTGGTCAAAGGACATTTAATCAACTACCAAACTCACAATTTTTGTATTTTGTCTGTTTGTTTGCTTTGTTCTGTTAGAAATGTAATATAATGGACTGGTTGCCCTGACAAGACAAATAAAAAAGTATTAAAATAGGAGGTCAGACTATCTGACCTCAAGGAGTTCCCCAACTCTTACAACAGCTCCTCCCCTACACACACACAAACATACAATGCCCCCCCCCTCCTCCCCTCTCTGCACCGATTCTCTGATCCTCACCTTGCCTTTCAGGAAAGGGGCGTGGTCAGACTTCTCCAATGGCAGCAGCTCATTGAACAGGACAGAAAGTTCTGCGAAAGTGAACGCAGGGTCAATTCTTAGGTTTCCGGCTACAGGCGCCACGGTTTTTTGGCTCGGGCGGGGTCCTAAATTGCATTCTTTTTAAACCAACATTCCTGAAAGTTCACTCCGCCGGCGTCTGACGCTAAACTCGGGAGACAGGCCGCGCCAGGCACAGCCGCCAGCGCGCGCTTCACCCTCCTCGCGCCTTCCCCCTCCCCTTTTATAAGCACTGCTCAGTTCCCCCTCCCCTCCTCCCCCGGCGTTTGAAATTCCTCGCGCGCCCAAACGAGATACCGTCCTGTCCATTATGGCTGATGGCGCGAGGAGTGAATTATTTCATTGGCCAGCTCTGGTATCCGAGGCCGGGTACTGCCGTTCTGATTGGTGGGATTTTTCACAGCACTCTTACCCTCGGAGCTGATAGGCTGGAGAGTCTTGAAGCTACCCCTTCGTCGAAGCCACGCCCTTTCTGCCTCCTGTTTGGTTAGATTTTAGGGAAAGCCACGCCCCATGTTCTACAACCAAGCTCCGCCTCCCAACTAACGGAAAAAGTGTCGCTCCGCCCTTTTTGTCAGAAACGCCCCTTCTGAGACCTTTCTAACGGTCGGCAAGAGAGGGGCGGGATACAAGTTGACTGACATGTAGACAAGCCAATGAGATTTATTTCTACGACGGGTTTAGCCACTTGCAAGTGCTCCCGCCCTCCAAATTCTGTGAGGTGAGGGAGGCTAAGTTACAAAATAGCCATTGCTGGGTAGAAAAAAAAGTAATGGGCCTAGTGGCTTTCAGAAGTATTCATAGGCATGGGAATGGCGAAAGGAAAGAAAAAACATCTCAAATGAGAGGAAATAGAGCCCGTGGTTCTCAACCTGTGGCTCCCCAGATGTTTTGGCCTACAACTTCCAGACACCCTAACACAGTGGTTCTCAATCTGTGGGTCACAAGGTTTTTTGGCCTACAACTCCCAGAAATCCCAACCAGTTTACTAGCTGTTGGGATTTCTGGGAGTTGAAGGCCAAAACATCTGGGGACCCACAGATTGAGAACCACTGCCCTAACAGCTGGTAAACTGGCTGGGATTTCTGGGAGTTGTAGGCCAAAACACCTGAGGACCCACAGGTTGAGAACCACTTTTTTTGTCGTGTCAGGAGCGACTTGAGAGACTGCAAGTCGCTTTTGGTGTGAGAGAATTGAGCCAAGCCAAATTTTCAGTCAGCACAGGCAAACAAACCAATCTCTCAGGCATTCTGCCAGACTGAGAGAGAGATTGATATCAGAGTCAAACGAAATCCGTTCCTGGCCGCTTGGGACATAGAGTAGATTGGGGATTATTTTTTTTGTCGTGTCAGGAAAGACTTGAGAGACTGCAAGTCGCTTCTGGTGTGAGAGAATTGACCGTCTGCAAGGACGTTGCTCAGGGGATGCCCAGATTTGATGTTTTTATCATCCTTGTGGGAGGCTTCTCTCATGTCCCCGCATGAGGAGCTGGAGCTGATAGAGGGAGCTCATCCGCCTCTCCCCGGATTTGAACATGTGACCTGTCAGTGTTCAGTTTTGCCGGCACAGGGGTTTAACCCACTGCACCACTGAAATAGACATATAGGTGTATCAGGGCATTCAGTTCTCAGGCCAGGCCCATTGCTGGCAATTTGGCATTGATTTTTCAAAGATGCCAGCTGTGGTCATTAATCATTTAAATTTTTTTTTGTTGTGTCAGGAATGACTCCTGGTGTGAGAGAATTGGCCGTCTGCAAGGACGTTGCCCAGAGGACACCTGGATGATTTCGATGTTTTTATCATCCTTGTGGGAGGCTTCTCTCACATGGAGGTGATAGAGGGAGCTCATCTGCCTCTCCGCGGATTTGAACATGTGACCTGTCAGTCTTCAGTCCTGCCGGCACAGGAGTTTAACCCACTGCACCACTGAAATAGACGCATAGGTGTATCAGGGCATTCAGTTCTCAGGCCAGGCCCATTGCTGGCAATTTGGCATTGTTTTTTCAAAGATGCCAGCTGTGCAGGCATGTAGCCGGGGGGGGGGGGGGGGGGGCTTGAGGGGCTTCAGCCCCCCCCCCCCGAAATTCTCATGTGGTTCGCGAAAAGGCCGTACTGGTGCATTATTTAAACTGCTGTTTATTCATATCATGATCTGATCACTATACTCAATATATCCCATATGCATGGGGGTACTGGAGTAACAATACAAAAGGTTTGCTAGGATAGACCCTCTTTCACTCAGACTCAACCCCCCCCCCCCCCGAATCAAATCCTGGCTATGGGCCTGCAGCTTTGTCATTTAATTGTTGTTGTTAATCCATTCAGTGTTCAGTTTCTTCCGACTCTTCGTAACCTCATGGACCAGCCCTTGCCAGAGCTCCCTGTCAACCGTCACCTCCCCCAGCTCCTTCAAGGTCAATCAATCAACCAATGATTTATTACGGTCTTTGACCAGCACAGTATAGAATGTGGCACTGGTGCCCAAGGAAGGGAATCGCAGTTCCCAAGTAGGTCAGGTATAAAAGCAGATTAAAAACATGTTATAAAAGAGACAAATTAAACAAAATAAAACAGACTAAACTCACAGTTTAAAGTGCATCTAAAATAGGGGGGCAGCTAATAACAAATATCAGACAACTGGGAAGCTCTAAAAAGGGATGAGAGGGGAGCATTTACAGTATTTCAGTTATTACAAATCATTCTTATTCCCGGCAGGAAGTTGCCTGGTGGAGTCAGTCATCAGCCGTCTAATTTAATTGCTGCTGCACAGAACTTGGCAACACTGTAGGTTGTCGTAGAGCAAGAGTCCGAGAGCAACAGGAAGGTGTAATATTTTTCAGTGCGCCCTGGATGTTTTAAAAGCCATGGAGTGATGAAATTAGCTCTAATGTCTCTACAGAATACACAGTGGAGGAGCACATGTTCAGTTGTTTCAATGTCAAGGTCAATCCAGTCACTTCAAGGATGCCATCCATCCATCTTGCCCTTGGTCAGCCCTTCCTTTTTCCTTCAATTTCCCCCAGCATCATTGTCTTCTCTAAGCTTTCCTTTCTTCTCGTGTTGTGGCCAAAGTACTTCATCTTGGCCTCTAACATCCTTCCCTCCAGTGAGCAGTTGGGCTTTATTTCCTAAAGTACGGACTGGTTGGATCTTCTCGCAGACCAAGGCACTCTCAGAACTTTCCTCCAGTACCACAGTTCAAAAATAATTTAATACAATACATTATAATACCTAATCTATGGGTTCATATATCAATGCCTGACAAAATCTGTCAGCAATAGGCAATTTCTACGCCAGGGGTCCACAAACATTTTAAACAGAAGGCCAGATCACAGTCCCTCAAACTAAAGGGCTGGATTATAATTTGAAAAAAATCAATGAATTCCTATGTTGTTGTTCATTCGTTCAGTTGTCTCCAACTCTTCGTGACCTCATGGACCAGCCCACGCCAGGGCTCCCTGTCGGCCGTCACCACCCCCAGCTCCTTCAAGGTCAGTCCAGTCACTTCAAGGATCCCATCCATCCATCTTGCCCTTGGTCGGCCCCTCTTCCTTTTACCTTCCACTTTCCCCAGCATAATTGTCTTCTCTAGGCTTTGCTGTCTCCTCATGATGTGGCCAAAGTACTTCAACTTTGCCTCTAGTATCCTTCCCTCCAATGAGCAGTCGGGCTTTATTTCCTGGAGGATGGACTGGTTGGATATTCTCGCTGTCCAAGGCACTCTCAGAACTTTCCTCCAACACCACAGTTCAAAAGCATCTATCTTCCTTCGCTCAGCCTTCCCTAAGGTCCAGCTCTCACATCCGCAGGTTACCACAGGGAATACCATGGCTTTGACTATGCGGATCTTTGTTGCCAGTGAAATGTCTCTACTCTTTACTATTTTATCGAGATTGGACACTGCTCCTCTCCCAAGAAGTAAGCGTCTTCTGATTTCCTGCATCTGCAGTAATCTTTGCACCTAGAAATACAATGAATTCCTATGCACACTGCATATTTCTTATTTGTGGTGCAAAAAAACTTAAAAATAGAATAATTAAAATGAAGAACAATTTTAACAAATATAAACTTACTATTTCAATGGGAAGTGTAGGCCTGCTTTTGGCAGATGAGATAGCGTTGTGTGCTTTCAAGTCGTTTCAGATTTAGGTCGACTCTGAGTGATGCCTGAGTAAATGATGTTGGAGGGCTGTATCCGGCCCCCGGGCCTTAGTTTGAGGACCCCTGTTCTAAGCCCACCAACATTATGGCATCCTAGGGACAGGCATCCTTCATTTCAATGGGATTTGCTATTATTTGCAGTTTCACATATCCAGGTGAAGTCCTGTAACTTATCTCCAATGATACAGACATCATACAGGCGTTTTACAGAGATCTTAAAAGTGGTAAACACAAATAGTCTTGTGGGAACTTTAAGACTAGTATATTTAGCACAAGCATTGCTTCGTTGGGTCAGAGCTCAAGATTGTTCAATAAGAGGATACAAAGTCCCTTACGCAACTGTGTCATGCATCAGATGAAATAGCTCTCTTATGATTATGCCCCCAGGTTTATTTATCTTTTGAGATTTTTTTTAAAAGAAATATTTGTGTCAGAAGTGAATTGAAAATACAGTTATGATTTATTAAAAAACCACAAAGTTAAAAATTTGGCATTATACTAAATTTCCTTTGACCAGAAGCTGGCCACTTCGAGTGGCTCTGGTGTCACTGTAAGGTCCTCCATTGTGCATGTGGCGGGGTTCAGACCACAGTGTAGTAAATGGTCTGTGGTTTGCTCTTTTCTACACTCATGTTGTGGACTCATTTGTAGCCCCGTTTCTTAAGATTGGTTCTGCATCTCATGGTACATTGCCAATTCTGCCGGGTTAAGTAAACAAAGAAGGCCTCTTCCCTGAAAAGGTTTCCAATCTGAACTTTGGCTGCAAAGAGGGGTTATGTTGAAAGGAAAGGTAGTTCAAGGAGAGGTTCAATGTTCGGTTTCAGGACCTAAGTTCCAGATCCAGGCTGGGAGAAATCAATAACAAGCCAAGGGCTGCCTGCCTAGTGAAATGCACTACATTATATCTCTCCCCCATGGAAAACACTAGCCCTGCAACAAGAGCAATCCCGAATATTAGGTCAAAATACTTTAACCCAAACAAATGATTTATTTCAATCTAATTGTCAAACAGTTTAAAATTGCACAGGCTGGTCAAAACAATGGGGTGGCGGCTTTCCCAAGTCCCCTGCTCTTCATGAGTAA